CCCCCCCCGCACAACTCCTCCGGATATATTAATAATAAATAGCAAGTAATGTAATTCCAACTTACTGAAAATGTTTTCAAGTAAGACCCTCGTTTTAGTTTTTAGTTTTGTAAGGGTTTTTACGGCACTTGCAACAGAAATAGGTAATACAAATGCCCAATGTTAGAGGTGTTACTACAGAGCAAATGACAAAGAAAAGGAGGAGCGATAAGTATGATAGATCAAGGGAAGATTATATAACTATTTTACACCCTACCAGGACACTACTGTATTAAGATAAATCAAGAGGCTGGATGCTTCGAACCAGCTTAGTTTTAGTACAGAAAGAGTTATATGGCACTTTCAACACAAATAGGTCATATAAGTGCCGAAGATTACAAGAAGTATTACTGGAGAGTAAAATACAGAGAAAAAAAAGAGAAGACATATATTGAGGACAGATGTTTGACAGGAAGGATGGAGCAAACCAAATCAGAGCACCAACCAATCACCCACTATAACCTGCCTGTCAGGGCCAACCAGCACCGAGTGAGAGATAGTGTCCCAGCAGAAAGATAGATTCTAGAGGCATTCAATGAAATACAAGGGAGTCAAACTGTCGCCATATGTAATTCAATGGTAAAGATGCGCACCAGTACACCACAGACACTGGTTTAGTTATAGAAAGTTTTAGGGCACTTGCAATACAAAAAGGTCAAATAAATGCTAAAGATTAGACGCGTAACTGGATAGTAACATAAAAAAGAAAAAGAGGTGGATAAAGATGATAGATGTTTGATAGAAAAGAAGGAGCAAAGCACACTAGAGCACTCACCAACCACCCACCGGACGCCGATGACGAAACAGGAAAAAAGATACTCATCACTCATTGTGTCAAGAATAGAGGTACATCTTCTTTATTAACTACGTGATTATGCGTGGAACATAAAAGTTATGGACAAAAACGTTCCTGTGGGTAAAATGCATGCATGCGAGCAGTGAGACAACCAAGCCTAGGTTCATGCTAAGTATATTAGCGAGGTTCTGCACAGACAACTACAGATTAAGCTACGATGAACAAATGTTTACTTGAAGACACTAACAGAAGCTGTATAAGGCCCCCCATTCATGTATCTGCTTCTAGAATGAGTAATCACAAGGGAAAACATCACAACCTTTTGATTTTGATGAACGACAATTCAAATTTAACTGATGATAAAGCAACTTGGTTTTATCACAATATCACAGAGGAAAAAAACCCAATACAAAAACCACTGACTATTCAGTGGCTTTATCTCTACTTGTCTTTAATCTAGGCAGTCACAGGCAAACTTTATTTTCGTGAGCCAGTGCAGCACTGAAGCTGAGGGAACATCTGATCTAAAAGCAACTCACAGGTGGATAAGTAAGTAGAAATCCTATACGATCACAAGGCCCCTATTGGGATTCAACTGGTGCGTGGCGTGCATAAACTGTGCACATAAATTATTTTGTCAGGATTTCATCTGGAATGTTGTCTTCATCAAGTTTTGAAAAATGGGCCAACCAACAGCTGACGACGAAATGTGCAAAGAATTGAGGGTGGTCCTACACAAATTCGTCAGGAGCAGAACTCAATAAAAGTGCTAAGCTAGAGCTAGAAGCGAGATGATCTCAGAGGTAACAAAAAAACCAAACTACACAGGAAAAGGTATGCAGTAAGCTAAGAAACTTAAAATATAAAAAAAAGAAGAGAAAAGGCTTTAGCTGAGAGAACACAGTCTGTGGTCTGAAATAGATACACATAAAAAAGGCAGATAGATCTGAAACAAAGTACATAGAGGCAGACCTGAGTCAGATGTTGGAACAGCAGTGTAAATAGTAACAAGATATGACAGAAATAAAATTACTTTTATATTTCTAAGCAGTAAAAAAAGAAATATATTATTTAAAAAAAACAACACAAAAAATGACAGAAATAAAAGTACTTCTATACTTCTAAGCAGCCAAAAAACCCACAAAAAACCCACCTTTTACATTATGCGACATAATGCAATCTAATTATCTCCATTCACAAATTGAGTATAAAAATGAAAAAAAATCCTACCTTGGCGGTAACCAGTCATTACGCTGGAGAGAGTGAACCTAATACTAGAGCCACAATTGCTGATTCATTATGTGAAATGAATCAAAAGACAAAATCATCACCAGGACTGAACTTGTATGAGTATCAACATCTTTAAACTTTCAAACAATTGCATCCGGTCAACTAGGAAACAAAGCAACACAAGCTTTTGGGACACTTATGTTATAATACTGCCCATTCGACAGTACACGAGTATATGACATACAACAAAATCCATGAAGAAAAAAATCAACTATGTCTTGATTAATAGGATGATTACAACTGAAATGAGATGAAAAATAACCCCCCCAAAAAATGAGAGGCCCTTAAAAAAAGGTTGGGCTGACTGATACTGGCATGCAGCCAAAAAGTGTTGTGCCTTGGTATGTATGTCAATAGCATTTATAAAAAAATCCATCCACATATATAGGTACGTATACATTCTTTTTCTTAAAAATGAAACTAGGGAAAGACAAAATACATTTTCAACTTCAACATACATATTTTAAATACGTGACTTAAACTTTTAGCATAATTTATTCTTTTACACAGAGGACAATTGTAAAAGATGTTGAAAAATGACCTATTCAATAAGTTTAAAAAAGATGTGGAGTAAATGCAAAAGAATTCAGTTTTCAACATAAGTCTAATAAATCATCAAAATTTGTTGAGCAAAATCAATAACGATATATAACCAGTTACAAAATAATGTTTGAGAAATTATTCAGTTTACTGTGAATTCAATATCCCAAATTTAAAATATCAATGAAAGCCTTCAATGTATGTGATTTTTGCTGAAATTTCGATCACCACGAGATAAAAGTGTTGGGGGAAAAAACCAACAAAAAAAACAAAACCAACCCAAATATATTCAAAAATAACAATTGCCAGTCATCTCCGTCTCCTAATTTGGCTGCTACCAGATCAATTGCGTTTGTACTGAGAAGATTCTTGTTGTTGTAAGTGCTTTCTGTCACATGAGTAGACCGAGGCCTAGCTGTCTTGACACTGACGCACAATGGTGACGGGGCAGGCCGCGTGGTGAACGACGTACTCGCTGACACTTCCTAGCAGTGTGCGGCGAAGTTTTCCCAGACCCCGGGTTCCCATGATGATGGACTGCACACCTTCATCTTTGGCCGTTTTGCAAATGAGCTCACCTGGCTTCTCGCCTTGAACAGTCACCAGTTTGGAATTCACCTGGATGGTGAAAAGATCATTATAAACTACATTAGTCCTGATTGACAGAAAAAATTTCCTAATGTGACAAAAACTATCTAATTTTTCTTTTAAAAGTTTTACTAAGAGTTATGTCATCTAGCTGCTAAAAATTAGAGCTGATACAAGAAAGTAACAAACAAACCAAAAAAAAAAAAAAGAAAAAAAAAGAGGAGAATTTTAGTTTTAGTAAGGGTTTTTATGGCACTTGCAACTCAATAAGGTCATTGAAGTGCTGAAGATTAGAGGTGTTACAAGAGAGTAACAAACACAAAAGAAAAGAGGAGAGATCATGATGATAGGAGTTTGATAGGAAAGAAGGAGCAAACCACACCAGATCACCTGCCAACCACCCGCATCATCAGAATAAACACCCTACTGTTACAAGATTCAAGTTAGATTTCAGTGTAAGACTACAGGAACTCACTGGAATGATGAGGTTTATGGAAAAAAAAAAAGACAGGCTGACAGCACATGCATGAAGCAGGACGTTGTCGAACAACAGACAAAACGTTTTTATGACCAAGGTTTTTCAGAATTTTGGAAATATACTCGAAATTGTCTAAGATGGCCACCCTTTGTCAAGGAGAAAAATGGTTGTCTTAGAGGCGGTAGTTATTTGTCCAGCTGATTGTCTTGGACAGGTGGCAGTTAGAGCAGTTTAACTGTACAGTAAAACCAGTGAAAGATGACTCCCTTCCATTCTTAGGCATGACAGGCAGGAGTCATTTTACATTTCACATGATAACAACAGTAGCCACCAAATCCAGATCAAAATACACAGAAATTAATGACGGATGGTTGACAAGAAACACTGTGTGGAAAAGAGACATCCTCTTCCTATGCTTTAAAAACAGCAGTTTAAAAAAGATTTATAATAGAAAAATAACACTGAAAAAAAAAAGGCCCGCATTTACATTTCAAGCAATTAGTGCATCTTGCCTATACAACCCGGAGAAAGGAATTTTCTGCTACAACACCATCGTCACCCCTACAATTTTTTTAATTTGCAAGGTAAGAATTTGGATAAAGTAGCCAATAATACCACAGGAGCAGCTATACTGGCCAGCAGAAGAACTGAGCAGGAGGGACCAATATATGATAGATTCTGAACTTCAAGTGTGATGCCATTGGGAATAGGAAGAAGAAGTCGATAAAACACAATATTTTTGTTTGTGGGAAATTCTGTGAAAAAAGGTAAACTAAAAAACTGGAGAAAAAGGATTACGACAAAACTCACATGCTTAGATCTGAGAACGTTCATGAAACCGTCTGTCAGATTGCCAATCTCATCGTGCCTCTTCTTGACTTGAGCGCAGATGGCATTAACGTCCGCAGCAGCACCAGCTGTGAATAAAAAGTCATGTTATTCTTAATAATCTATCAAGAAAATTGCCACATTACTTATGCAAAACTAATGATGTCAACATAAATTTTCCATGCCTTGACCCCTTAAAAAACATTCAATAAGAATAACATACATAAATGGCAACCCCAGTGCTTTCTTGCTGTATCTCCATTTTTTAAAACAGTGAAAATGTGACTTCTTCTTAAGCTCACTATTTGTTATGAACTGTTTTCACTGTTATTAATAATGGAGATACGACAAGAAAGCAATGAGGTCGCGAAATTTGGTTTATATGTATGAAAGATTCAAAATTTGCTGTTCAGAGACACAATGACAATGCATCATTATGAAAAGCTTTCGTTTAAAAAAATCTTGTCCTGCAGTAAAAATTAAGAAGTCAGCATGGCTAAAATTAACCTTACAAAACCGGAGCACGCACATGTGCGTGGAAAAATCTTTTTTATCCTAAATTACTGGACACGCATGTTATATATATGTGCGTAATTTATTATTACATTACAACACTTTTCAATATAAGGAAACCAACTATTCCTTGGACCAAGCTTTTTTGTACAGAACAAAACATCCATTACTGTTCCCTTTGAAATCAGTTGGTCACTTGGAATGCATACCTTTTTTTATGATGATTGCCTGTTCAATTTTATGAACAGAAATTTATATATTTTTTTTTACACAAGTGGATGTGGTAGAAAAATGGGGATTACATCTAAAGTGATAAATGAATCCAGTTGAAATGTGGACGAGCTTTCAGAAATAAAATTGCTACAACAAAATATGAAAATAGTTCATATATCTTGTCTACATTTTGTGTAGAAGAGATCTAAAACTGAAAATCTGATTTCCCCCCCCCATAGCTAAGTCAGTGACTTATTACAAATAGTCAAACTCAAACACAATCAATCCTTACCTGCATGAAAACTGTCTTTTCTAAAACCTAATTCTATTGCTTCCCAGAAAATATATACTTTTCTTAGGTTGTTTTGTAAGTACTATCCTTTAAAATACATCTGAAAAGGGTCACCCTTATATTTCCTGAGCGACCCAAAAGCTGTTCAGGATTGGTGTTACTCGTGGGCAGATTTGACTAAGTCATGTAGGGTTAAACTATTCATGGGCTCAGAATCAAATCAGTCCACCAAAAGTGACATTGATATTCTAAATAACACATTGTGATTCTGATATTGTATAAATATCATATAATGTATTTTACTGTGCTAAAAGTACAGTGACGGGTCGGTCATGTAAGCGCCACCACAAACTTTGTTTACAATGTTTAACAATAAAAAAAAAAGCAAACAAAAAAACACATTGACAGTAGGTTTGGGATGAAAAAAAAAGAAATAAATGCCACGATAGAGGTGATGACTGTGAGAGATCTGAAAAAAAAAGTATACTTACGCAGCCCAATATCAATATTGTATTCAGCACAGTGAATGAGGACTACAGTGTCTCCCTCACGGTACATATTTTCCAAATACCCTGAGGAAGATATAATATAACCAATTGTAACTGTTAGGTATGCAACATCATTCAGTGATCATTTTTCAAATGTGTTTTTTTACACCCTCATTGATACAATTCAGATAATTTAGGAAGTGAGCTTCTGAACCTAGGTTGAGAGGGATACAACATCCCAGCAAAAAGTGAAAAAGGCCGAGATGCTTTCAAGATCAAATTCTCCCCACTAAGGGATTGAACTCCGGTCTACTGCGGGCGATAGCAAAGTGCCTTATTGCTACACTACAGATGATGGTATCATTTAGTAAAAAACATTGAAAGTCTGCAAAGACATTGGCCACATGTTCAACTGAAGAGAGGACACCATAAAAAAAAAATACTACTATGCACCAAAATTGATAGCAAAAACAAAATCACAAAGGAGAAAATATTTTCACTAGGGTAGAGGGTGCATATTCCGACACTGTGTGCTATTCCGACACCCCTCGTGGGGTGCACTCCAAAAACAACGAACGGTGCGGAAATACTACAACTTATGCGCGCGGGTATATTTTTAACCGGCAGCCGAACTATCTTTTTTAAATTATGTGCGTCATTTCTAAATATAGGTGTAATAGTTTTCCCATAAACCCCCAAGAAGTGACACCGCTCTTTTGCGCGTCCAATTTCGAACGTTTTCAAGCTCCGTGTTTCTAAAGCAGCAATATCACAAGTTGAGTAAACAAGTCCTATTTCTTGTGTAAAAGGCTGTATGTGATAAATGAATGTACTAAATGAATATTAGATGATTAAAATTGCTGTTTTCAACAAAATTTGATAGATTTTATTGCTTTAAACTGGTTAAATATGTGCTCAAAAAGTGTCGAATTTCCCCACATCAAAAAATGCCACTCTCAGAATTACGACACCCCTTCTGTCAATAATTCGACACCCCATGCTGCTATTTCGACACCCCTGGTGGTAATGTCGACACCCCCTGTGGGTTATTTCGACACTATGTCAGTAGATTCATTTTCAATACAATGTTATGTATATGACTATGTATCCATTTATGTATTTTGTGAATTGCAGTGTGAATATTATTTTTTGCTCATTTCGTGACGATGTGTAAGCGTGTGCGTGTGATAAGCAAGTAGCTGTGTGTGTGCGCGTATGTGCATGTTTGTGTGTGTGTGTGTGTGCGTGTGTCTGTGTTTGGCGTACATATGTGTGTACATGTGTGCGTGTTATGTGTTCGTGAGTGTGTATGTGTGTGTGTGTGTGTGTGTGTGTGTGTTTGTGTGTGTATGAGTGTGTGTATGTGTGTGTGTGTGTGTGTGTGTGTGTGTGTGCAGCAGATGCAGCAACAGCAACAGCAGATGCAGCAGCTGCAGCAACAGCAGCAGCAACAAGACCAACAAGAGCAGCAACAGTAACAACAGCAGCAGTGGAAACAAATGCAGCAGCAACAACAAGAACCACAGCAGTGCAGCAACAACAAGAACCACAGCAGCAGCAACAACAAGAACCACAGCAGCAGCAACAACAAGAACCACAGCAGCAGCAATAACAACAGATGCAACAACAACAGATGCAACAACAACAGATGCAACAACAATAGATGCAACAACAACAGATGCAACAACAACAGATGCAACAACAACAGATGCAACAACAACAGATGCAACAACAATAGATGCAACAACAACAGATGCAACAACAACAGATGCAACAACAACAGATGCAACAACAATAGATGCAACAACAACAGATGCAACAACAACAGATGCAACAGCACCAGCAGGAATAAATGCAACATCAGCAGCAGCATAGGAGCAGCAGCAGCAGATGACTCAGATGAGTCTACTGAACTTGAGAAGTCAAATTTGTTTGTTTTGTTTCATTTTGTTGTTGATTTTTATTTTGTTCCTTTTTAATACTTTTATAGGGTTCTTTTGCACCTGGTAGCCTAATGATAGGAATTCAGCGAGGGCAGCATGTGTTGCACTGAATTCCAGAGTAATAAATTTTGATGATTTACGCCTTGTTTCTTGTTCAATTATTTTACTAAACTAGCACTACCTTGGGCTCTACAGTTATGGTGGTGGAGATGATGATGCGGGTGATAGGCCTAGTAACGATGATGCTGGTGGTAGCGGTGGTGATAAAGATGATGACATGATGGTGATGGTGATGATGAAGATGGTAGGGCAATGCTGGTGCTGGTGATGATCATGGTAATGAACTAATACTAATTCAGTTGTTGCAGCTGTTACTGATGTTGAGGTCAGTGATGCTGCTGTCGCTGATGGTTATGTTAATAATTATGATAATTGTAGTGATAATAATATTGTGGATATTTGATGATGCAGCGAAACCACAATCAGGTGAAAGGACAGGGCAATATGTTTGCCTCACTCAGTCAGTGTATACTAGCCAAACGACAGACCAACTACTTTTCCTTTAATGAAATTAATGCCGTGTGTCAAGCAGAAAAGAAATGCTAATACTGAAATGCCGAGGATCGAACCCACGACCTCCTGGACCCAAGCCTAGCCTAGGCCTAGCCTAGCCTAGGCCTAGGCCTAACTACAGCACTGGGCCAGTCCGGGCCTTCGGTGTCGCATTTCCCCACAGTGGTGTCGTAATTGGAACAACCGGTGTCGAAGTTCCCCTCACAGGGGTGTCGGAATTAGAACAAGGGGTGTCGAAATTTTGAATTACGCACCCCACACACTTTAAGAGAGGGTTACAATCAACTTGACAGGCACATTCACTTGTTTTATACAACAAACAGTTTCTAAGAGGTTTCTCCACCATCTGGTGACAGAACCTCGCCGCTCAATTGATTTTATCCGACTACACAGACCAATGAACACAGCAGCAGTCTCAGACCTGCCAGAAGGGGTGTCGAAATATGCACCCTCTACCCTAGCACTGCAGTCAGCCCCACTTTGTCAACACTTCCTTTACTTAAAGTAAAAATACAGTCGAAATTGTCCAAGACGACCACCCATTGTTGAGGAGAAAAATAATTGTCTTTGACAGGTGGATGCATTGGACAATGTCATTGTATATATATGATATAGAGAAAAAATGCAAGGGTGGGGGGTATGTAGTGGTAAGTAGTTGTATGTGCACGAGATGTTATTTTTGGGGGTAGGTGGCCATTAGGTCCGACTGTATTTTCAACCATCGAAAAGCCTTTTCAATGAATCATTACAAAAATAAAAAGACAGAACACAGGCATATCTATAAATCAACAGTTGCAATCATTAATTTATTAAAATTTTCCCCTGTTGAACTGAAGTAGGCTACAGTCAAACCTGTGTAAGACAGAATAGCAAAGGAGCCAGAAAAAAATTCCATTGTAGACATTTTCTGTCTTAGACAGGTGAATTTATGGGGGCGGGGGGAGATGGAAGGGGGTTCCAAAGGCCGGGCCGGTGGGATCAAGGGTCCTTTGTCCGGTCGACAAGAAGTGATCAAAACTTCACACCTCTAAACTGCTAGATCTATCCTCTCTGATAATGACCTGGGTCAGTCTCACCTATCCAATTACCACCAGTGCTTGACGGTATCCCCCCTCCCCCACACCCACCCCCCTTCCTTGCATGCTAATTTTTACTTCATTTCCCTCTCCATCCCATCTGACTTGAATATAAACTATACACACATCCTCTACATTGTTACAGTACAGTGTTCTTTAAAAAAAAAAAAATTAAAAAAAAATTGTAATTCAACACAAACAAGGAAATAGGAAAGTGAAAATCTGGAAGGACTTCTGTAACAAGCGACCACCCCAACAAACACTAAATTGCCCTGTTTGTTCGGGTGGTCGCTTTCGAAAGGAGAGACCTAACCCTGACTCTGACCCAAACCCTAAATTGCCCTAACCTAATCCTCTTTTACTTTTATTATAAATACTCTATTTCATAGAGGTCGCTCGTTATGGACGGAATTTACTGTAAAACTCACACCACAGCCTGATAACAACTTTAGATCTACAGTTGTCCTGATCTGGTCTTGGCCACTTTTACTTTAGGCATAGAGCTAGAATCTAGATCTAGATCTAGATCTAGATCTAAAAATAAGTAACAATGTAAGGCCAACAAATAACATTAGATCTATCAGTGCTAACAACCGGTTTTTTTCTCCACCCGGTGATTGTGATGATGGTAGGCCTAATGTCAAAGAGGAGAAATAGGCGGTGGCTAGATTTCTAGATTGGCTCAGCCTCAGCGCAAGAGAATGTAAAAAGAATCAACCCTCGCATCGCACAAGCTGGAGGAGGGAACAGAAGCTTTAAAATCATTAAAAAAAAACTTGTGATAAACTCGCATGATGGTAGATCTAGAGTCGAAGAAGAGAAATAGGCGGTGGCTACAAGACCCAGACTACAGCAACAAGTCTCAAGCGTAGCCTACAAAAAACACTGCTCTAAAAACTAAAAAAGTATCAAAATCGTAGAAGTTGGAGGAGAGCAGTTGGGTGTATGAAAGTTTGGATTTCAGAAAACATAAATCAACTCACAGTCAAACGCATATTGGGCCTGGTCACTGCCATCCACAGCAATCATGTCTTTTCTGCCCATGATGTTGGAATAAATTTATTTCACTGAGAAATCACAAAGGGAAACTTAGACTATCTTTCCGCAACTCGTCAGTCAAGCTCGGCCGATGCTTCTGCTGAACTTCTATTGGGTTGCCAAGACGAGAGTTGTTTTGCTCGCTATGTGAGCCAGAATTAAAAGAGTAAATGTTATTAACTATTATTTCGATACATACGCAGACTATTTGTTTGGTTTCCTGTAATGATTATTTCTGCTACCTTAAATGTTGATTGTTGATCAAATAAAATAATAATATTGCTGCAAAAGGTATAATTTTCTTTTTTGCGTCTGCAAAAAATAACTGGACAATTTTGCAGCTGTACCGCGTTCCTGGCAACTAGTACATTCTTCAGGAGTCTTGCTTGCAACGCTAGCCTATGCCAGGGATTTGAAGGTCATATCGGGCAACTTAGGCTAGAGGGGCCAGCCAGCAGAGGGGAACAAGTGACGGAGAATGTCGCAACAGTCCCCACAATGTTGCTCAATGCGCAGATCACAACTGTCACTTTAACAGAGGGACAGACGCGTAGACGGTTTAGCATATTTTCTTTCTAGCTGTTTGCTGGTGCATAATATTCCAAACTGTATTTTATTCACTGCATAACTCTAAGAAACATGTCGAAAGAAAGTCGAAAAGTTTACCTGTAAAATTCTTTAATTTTGTCACCAACTCAGAAAAAATAGATAAAAAATTGAAGCTTTGATTATTATAGGCTACAGTGGCCTGATTCAAAACATACAACAGCGATTCACCGTTAGAAAAAAAATGCCCCCCGCCCCCTCCCCCTCCCCTTCTTTGCACCAATGTCTACAGCCTCGTATAATATATTATAGATCTATATTATAGGTGCTAGGATTTTAGCAAGCCTGCTGTCGATCATGACCATGATTTTCTACTCTCAAAGTCATGAGTGGCCTCTCCAGTTTGCTGAGTGTTGGAAAAAAAATACAAAACAACGATACCCCCCCCAACAAAAAACCCCCAAAACAAACAACAACAACCCCCCCCCCCAAAAAAAATCAACAACATAAAAACATTGTCTGATTTCATTTCGGTAGCTTAATTACTTTATATTCTGACGTGTCGTTAGTGTAGGAAAATCACAATTCTACAACTATAATTAGGCGTATAGTATATTATATGGACTGGCTGTCATTGTTTGGAGCTAATTAGTTGGCACCCCCTCTCTCCACGGGGTCCCTCCCCGTACCAGTCATTTAATTCCCGTTGTATACATACACGTACATGTACACACACACACACACACACACACACACAAACGCACAAACTCACACACACTCGCACACACACACACACACACACACACACA